TCAACACTTGAAAAGAAATACAGCAGAGCTAAGAAATTTATAAAAGAGTTTCAAAAAAGGTAAAGTTTACAAAATTTTTTAAAATTATTTTTTTTTTAAATTTTTTATTTATATTTGTTAATTTTTTTATGATTAAACATATAGCATTCACTATTAACATTTATAAAATATACTTTTTATGCTAAATTCAATAAAGGTTTTTCTTTTCTTTTTTAAAGAAATTTGTGACCATCTTGTTAAATATCCATTTTAGCTGTGTTTTTTTATGGATTTTTTTAAAATAAGTAATGGCTTAGCTTTTTTTAATTAAATTCCAATTTTGACTATAGTTTTTATTAATGTATTAATTATTTTACAATTTTATGTGGAGTGAATTATTTAGTTCTGATAATTTTTTCAGAAAGAATTGGTAAAAAAACATTATTTTTTTCCTTGCATTTAGTGCTTAGGTCTTAGAATAAAAATAGTTTTCCTCTTTATTTTGAAATGTCCTAGTTGTTAAGGTCTATTCTCCTCAGAAAATAAAAGTCTATTTTAAAGGCATTATTAATAATTTTTATACACGACGTGCTCAGTGCTTATTAATTATTTTTACAGAGAAAAAGAGCTTATTCAGTGGCAAGAGTATCATGTTCAACAACTGCAAGAGAAAGATCAAGAATATAATGCTTTGGTAAAAGCACTAAAGGACAGGGTATGATTTACATTGCTTACAACTATAATCAATAATATATACATTTTTATAATGACACTTAATTCAATTTGAAATTATTTACTTATTTATCACGTAGATAGCTTATTTTACTTTCAAAATATTTAAAGTGATAAATTAGTTGTATTTTATTGTTATAAAGCTTACTTTAGTTATTTACTTCTGTCGTGCTAGAATTTTGATTTATTATAATTTTTTATGGAATAAGATCTTACTGCTTTGTTTCTTTATTTAGATATTAAAAAATCTTTTTTTTAATAATAAATTTGTAGTTAAATTTTAAAAGAAATTTAAATTTTTTTTCAGGTAATATTGCTTGAACAGACTCTTGTGGTGACTCTTTCCAACTGGTCTTCCTTATAATACACCTTTAAAGCCGATCACTCCACAATGTAGAAATCTTGTCAGCCCACCTAAATTTTTAAGTAAATTTTTTAGTTTTCTCTTTTCACTTTATAATTAATCTTTCATTCCTCGTGCTGCTGTATTTTTCTCCCCACCATAGTATTTTCACTGTAGTGCAAGTAATATGATCTTGTAGTATTGCGTAATTATAAAGCTATGATAGGAATTTTGACATCAAAAGATATTTTTTATGTATAGTAAAAGTCTGTTCTATCAACAATTCAGAAAAGTAGCTGAAATCCTTGTTATAACCAAATACATATATTTAATGTTAAAATAGCAATTAAAATGAATTAGACATATTAACCTCTTATTTTTGTTTTGAACAATGTAGATTTAAAATGAAATAATTCAATGATAACTATAGCATGATATGTTCTTCAAAAAATAAAATATTGTCCATTTTTTATAAATTTTTTATTTTTGCAACCAATTTTATTCTATTTTTATTACTGGAAATAGTGAGAAATTTTTTTTGTATTTGTTAAAATAATTTTTTGTAATAAAATTTTTTAAATTAATGTACTAAGCTAATGTTTTATAATGTTTTTTGGAATGTTATAGTTCTGTTAGAATGTTATAGCCAAAAGTTCAGCTCTGTTATGATTCACTCTGTAATATAGTTGCAGTTATATAACAATGTGTTTCTTTTGATGTAGGAGGTTAAATTTTGAATTCTAAAAATTATTATTTAAGAAAAAAAAGCATTAAATAACTTATTTCAGTACACTAGTTTAGAATAACGAACTATTATGAATCATATTGAAAATAAGGCATAATTGAGAATCTTACAAGAATTATTCTATGGTAATTGAAATTATACTTAATCAGAATAGAGGTACAATATATTATATATTAACTTTTGTGTAATTAGTGTGAAATGAATGTTGCAACTGCCTTTTAATACTAACAAGAAGAGATGCAGTCTGAGGTAGGCTAAATAATACCGCCGTATTTAGCAAATTATTTAAACGTTATTGAAAAAAATATCCAGTTTAAAGAAACAATACTTTATATGTATATTTTTCTTGTGAATGATTTTAATAATTACTAAAATGAAATTTACATCTGATTTCAAAAGGATTGATAATTTTTTTAGAAGTTCAGTGCTTTGATCTGTCTGATAGTGAAACATCACATAGTGAATTGCAGTCCCCATTTAGTCCGGATGATGAGTATTGTGATAAACGTGCCACATTAGAAAGACGACCAGATTGTGAAATTTTATTTGATACAGCGGTTCCTCAAACTAAGCTGCTTGATACAAGTGCAGCTAAAGCAAAGGCTGAATTGGCAAACAAAGGCAGTTTAGCTAACAGACAGTCCCCGTCTATTAAGAATCAATCATTGTCCGATTCTGTAAGTTATGTCTGTAATCAGTATTTTAAATAATTATTTTGTTTTTGAAACATATTTCATTATTCATAATTGTTCATACTTAATTCATCAAATTTCTATTTTTCTGGAGGATACTTTGCTCATTTTTTGTATAGTGTGCCAAAAAAAGAAAAAAAACCGGCTACACTGAGTAACTTTTGATCTAATGATCAGATCTTCGTTTCTATAGACACTTCCAGGACGTATGGTGGGAATTATTTAACAAACTATAGCATCCAACAGCATTTAAAAAGATAGCTGAGTTATGTAGTTTCCTTATGCAACCCCAATAAATGATCTTTTATTTACCTAAACACTTTTCTTGTGTATTTAATTTATTTTGACATTTTTTCACATATCATTGATTTATTCTGGAAAAAAAGGCATTCTTGCAAGCTATTTTATTTCTTTCTGAAGTTATTGCTTGTGAGTTTTTTTTTTTTTTAGTTCACTTATAGTCAAAACGTTTATTAAATATTAGTAAATACTGCTTTTGGATGTTTTATCAATTTCCTCAGGCTCTTTGTTAATGAATGAAAAATATTTGTGTATAAACTTATCTATAATTATTTAGTGAAAGGTTTAAATAAGAGCAATTGCAATATTAAAATTCTATTGTTATATTCCGAGAAAAAAAAAGAGATAATTACTTTTAAAATTTATAGTTTAACCTTTTATCCTTTTTGCCTCTTTTTATTAAAAATTATTGCAATTGATGTCTCTTTTTAATTTTATTTAGTTTAAATTTCCCTTTATCTTTTGCAGATTTGTTATTGACGTGAAAAAGATGGAGTTCAAAGTGAAATTACACAGTTAATTTCTCAATCTCTGGTAGCTGACCGTGAAAGAGAAACTGAACGGCCCAGTAGTGACTTTGCTTTTGATAATAGAGTGAGTATAGTTTTTAGTTTCACTGCGCAATTTATTATTCAGAATTTAATATACATTTACTGATTTTAGTGAGGAGTTATTTTTGTTTCTTCAATTTTTAATAATCGCAAGTCTTTAATTTAATGTTACTGAATCGATTTTTAAAATTTTTTTCTTCTAAAAAACAGTGCTTTATTCAATGAAAAAAAGAGTTTTGTGTTTATATTTATATTTAGTTAAATATAAAGAAAAATTATCAACAAGATAAAATGTAGTATGCAAGGTAAGATGCACATGTAGCAATTATTTTAACGCTCAACTTTCATTTCCCCCTTTATGTTAGTTTTATCATATTTTACTGAAAATTCTTCATTATTCTAAATCTTAATTAAAAGAAGGAAAAAAAGTCTGTTCTTGTCTTATTTTGATAGAAAGAAACATATCTTTTCTAATTATGAAATTGATATATTTTTTATCATGTTCAATTAATATACTTTTTTTATTGTATACAAATTTATATATTGATCTTGTACATTTAATTTTTAAAAAATTCTTATTTTAATTTTATACTCACTCTTTCATATCTCATTTTACATGAATTTTATAATGTATGTTCTCTGAATGACATATTAGAATAATATTGTATAAATTTTGTTTTCAGTTTATCAATGATATTTCCTCATATTTCATTTGATATCAGGTAGACTGCATTTCTTTTCTTTAAGCAAATTTTTTTCTTATCTCCTTGTCTGTTGTTATCTAGGGATCCCATTTTCGGCTAATGATTTTATTTCAAGTTTAAAATACTTCCTATTTAATTCACAAGCTCGAATTAGATGAAAGAAGTAGTACTAAATAACATTATTTTACTTAATTTTCAAGGTGATTGGGAATCTCACTAAAAATCATTTTAAAGATACTTTTTAGTATTCATTGAATGAAACAATTTAATTCTCTGATATTTTTCATAGACATATATGATTTAACTCTTGTCTTAACGATGAAATGGAAAAAAAGGATATTCTATGTGAATTTGTGCCTGCTTTGGTGACTTAAGTATAAAGAGGCACAAAAAAAAAAAGAAGAAGAAAGAAGCAGAAACAATTCTACTGCAGTTAATCAACAAATTTATTCAATGGACAAAATATATTTAATTAAAACTTAAGCAGAAAAAATTAAGTTAGTTGGAATATTTATAAAAAGAAAAACAAATTTTAGAGAGAAATTAAAAGATTTGAGAAAAACTAAACATCCCATTCTGACTGTATCATTCCGAGTTCATGGGGTGGCTCAAACAGTTTCGGTTAAAGTTACGCTCGTTACAAATTAATTTTATTATTTTATACAGAATACTTATTTTCAGTTTATATTCATATTTTATCTAACTATTTACAATTTGGTCTTATTTAACCTTTATATAACTATTAGCTACTTATGACAAACCCATCATCACATTTATTTTTTAGACTATATAAGTTTAGTACTTATAAGAAGTTTAGACTAAAACTTGGTAAATTTAGTGAGTTCAGTGCTTTATATTCTAAATTTAGTAATTCATTTAGTACTCTCTTTATTGTATTATTAAGAAAAACAAAATGGCCCATTAAATATATTGATTTTATAAAAAAAAATTTGTATGCAAAATAAATTTTTCATGTTTTGTTTAAAATGGATTTTGTTAAAAAATAGTATTATCTACTCACTAGTGCTTATTAGCTACTTTGTTAAAAAATAGTAATAGTTATACAACTACCTATTTGCTACTTATAGAACTAATGAGGAACCCCTCATCGTACTTATTTTTCAGACTGTATAAGTTTAATTCTTATAAGTTAGACTTTATAAGTTTAGTATTGAAACTTGGTAAGTTCCGTAAGTTCAGTGCTTTAGAATGTAATTTTAGTTATTCATTTAGTACTCTCTTTATTGTGCAGTTAGGAAAAACAAAATGTCGCTCCTTAAATGCATTGATTTTTTTTTATGTGCGAAATAAAATTTTTACGTTCATTTCAAAACTGACTTTGTTAAAAAATAGTTTCTGTCTTTATAATTTAATATCAGTTATATTATTTTATCAAACTGATTCAGTACTTTTTAGGCCTATTTTGCTAGTGTGATTACATAAAATGAACTGAAAAAAGCAAATGAAAAGGTAAGATTGAACTACATAAACTGCATTACAAAAAGGCAAATCTATTGGATATATTTTTCAACACATTTGAGTTACAAATCTACATTTTTGTTTCTGATTATCAAAGTTCTATTCAAGATTGGTAAAAATTTAACCAGACAAAAAAAAACTATTTAAAAAAATGCTACAGTTACATTTTTAAGTTAAAATTATATTTTACATCTAGTAATTATTTCTTTGCTAATTAACTACTGTATAATACAATTTTCAGGTTTGTCAGTTTTATGCTTTTGCAATATATTTTTCTTGCTATAGTAACAATGTTGGTCACATGGCTAGGTTTTTAAGTGCTGGGTAACTCAAGCAAATTTGTTAGTTGCTTAAATCTTTGTTAACGAACACTCACATTGAAAGGTGATTATATGATACGTGACTTATAGGTTTGTAGTGATTTGGGGTTTTAAAGAAAATCTGAGAATTTTGAGTAATAAAAATTTCAAGAGTATTTTTTAGTCTTTTGGAGAACTATGTTTTAGAAATGAACTAACACATAAATAAATAAAAATGATATTGTATTATCTGAAAGTTTTCATTGTTTTGAATTAAATTGCTGTTCATCACTTTTAAGTAATTTTTTCATTTGTTTTCTTGCAATGAATTTCGCTATGATCTGAGAAACTTCTAGGGTATTCCTTGCCATTAAAGTTTCTGAAATTTAATATTCTTAAATACTTTTTTGTTAAAGCTACAAGCAATTGGAGCACATGGAGTGTGACTACAGAAAATGGTTAGACATGGCTCAATGTTAAGTTGAAGAACTAAGTCTTAGTTTACAGAATTTGAACAAGAGCTGTTGCAAAGCAAAAGTGACTTAGATGCATTACAATGCAAATATTCAACACTTGAAAAGAAATACAGCAGAGCCAAGAAATATATAAAAGAGTTTCAAAAAAGGTAAAGTTTACAGAATTTTTTAAAATTATTTTTTTTTTAAATTTCTAATTTATATTTGTTAATTTTTTTTATGATTAAACATATAGCATTCATTATTAACATTTATAAAAATATACTTTTTATGCTAAATTCAATAAAGGTTTTTCTTTTCTTTTTTAAAGAAATTTGTGACCATCTTGTTAAATATCCATTTTAGCTGTGTTTTTTTATGGTTTTTTTTAAAAATAAGTAATGGCTTAGCTTTTTTTTAATTAAATTCTAATTTTGACTATAGTTTTTTTAATGTATTAATTATTTTACTATTTTATGTAGAGTGAATTATTTAGTTCTGATAACTTTTTCAGAAAGAATTGGTAAAAAAACATTATTTTTTTCCTTGCATTTAGTGCTTTAGTCTTAGAATAAAAATAGTTTTCCTCTTTATTTTGAATTGTCCTAGTTGTTAAGGTCTATTCTCCTCAGAAAATAAAAGTCTATTTTAAAGGCATTATTAATAATTTTTATACACGACGTGCTCAGTGTTTATTAATTATTTTTACAGAGAAAAAGAGCTCATTCAGTGGCAAGAGTATCATGTTCAACAACTGCAAGAGAAAGATCAAGAATATAATGCTTTGGTAAAAGCTCTAAAGGACAGGGTATGATTTACATTGCTTACAACTATAATCAATAATATATACATTTTTATAATGACACTTAATTCAATTTAAAATTATTTACTTATTTATCACGTAGATAGCTTATTTTACTTTTAAAATATTTAAAGTGATAAATTAGTTGTATTTTATTGTTATAAAGCTTACTTTAGTTATTTACTTCTGTCGTGATAGAATTTTGCTTTATTATAATTTTTTATGGAATAAGATCTTACTGCTTTGTTTCTGTATTTAGATATTAAAAAATCTTTTTTTATATAATAAATTTGTAGTTAAATTTTAAAAGAAATTTAAAATATTTTTCAGGTAATAATGCTTGAACAGACTCTTGTGGTGACTCAAAAGCAAGCAGGTTTTCCAACTGGTCTTCCTTATAATACACCTTTAAAGCCGATCACTCCACAATGTAGAAATCTTGTCAGCCCACCTAAATTTTTAAGTAAATTTTTTAGTTTTCTCTTTTCACTTTATAATTAATCTTTCATTCCTCGTGCTGCTGTATTTTTCTCCCCACCATAGTATTTTCACTGTAGTGCAAGTAATTATGATCTTGTAGTATTGCGTAATCATAAAGCTATGATAGGAATTTTGACATCAAAAGATATTTTTAATGTATAGTAAAAGTCTGTTCTATCAACAATTCAGAAAAGTAGCTGAAATCCTTGTTATAACCAAATACATATATTTAATGTTAAAATAGCAATTAAAGTGAATTAGACATATTAACCTCTTTTTTTGTGTTTTGAACAATGTAGATTTAAAATATG